CCACTGTCTAAGAACAGAAGAAGATATTCTCCAATAGCAAGAATGATCTGCTATTTCTAAAACACAGCATTAGAGAACAATGAAGGAAGGCCTAGAAAGTAAGGGTAGACCATAGAAGCTAAAAACTAATATAAAAAAGATGGGAACATTTCCTAAAGACTGGTGAAAAGCCAGGTATAGTGCACACCCATAATCCCAGCTCTAAGGGTCAGGAGTTCAAAGCCAGCTTGGACAACATTTAGCATTCTGGGCCATCCTGGGTTACAAAAGGCCCTGTCTGTCTTAGGTAGGCTTTCTATGGCTGTGATAAAACAGCAAAAGCAACCTGTGCTGGGAGCCAAGGCCAGCTAGTGGAAAGCTACAGACAGCTGCAACAAGGTCGTAGGTGAGAGATTTACATTTCCGGAACCCATGAGACATCTGTGCGTCAGGCTGGACATTTTGAGATACCTTAGCTGACATTCTTGTAGTATCTCTTTTAGTAAACATTCTTGCGGTGTTCTGCATCATCATTAATCACCCTGTCATGTTTTGTAAACTATATTGCTGACACATTTTCCCTTCCTGCCTTCTCCCTATAAAGTTGTGTGAAATTTTTCAAATAATCGAGAGCGAGGTCAGACTATAGACTACTCTCATTCTTTGTGTCTCCTTGTCTCCACTTCATTGTTTTCACCCCTCCTTAGGAACTCGTTGAACTCCTGCTGGACGGGACAAACCTGGAGAGGGAAGCGCTTACTTTAGCGTGTAACTCTCAGGTCACACTCCACTGGGAGGGAAGCCAAGGCAGGGACTCAAACAGGACGGGAACCTGGAGGCAGGAGACCAGGCTCCCCACCTCAGTCATTAATCATGAAAATGCAACAGACTTGCTCACAGGCCTATCTGGTGGGGCATTTTCTTAGTAGAGGGTCCCTTTTCCCTCTACCTTGTGTCAAGTTGACATAAAACTAGCCAGCACACTACCATTAAAAACGCGAAGACAACAGGCCAGTTCACAGTTAGAGGTGAGAGCTGTTTTTAACTAGAGGGCCTAGCTAGTGCTGTGCTGCTTGAACAAGGATGGCTCCATAGACGCATGTGTTTGAATGCTTGACCCATAGAGAGAGGCACTATAGGTGTGCCGCTGTGGAGGCAGTGTACCACCGTGGGGTGGGCTTTGAGGTTTCATGCGTGCTCAGACTATGCCCAGGGTGGCACAGTCTCCCTGGGGATCAGATGCAGACCTCTCCCCTCCTCTAGCACCGTGTGTGCCTGCAGGCTGCCATGCTTCCCGCTATGATGGACCAAACCTCGAAACTGTAAGCCAGCCCCAAATGTTTTTCTTTATAGGAGTTGCTGTCGCCATGGTATCTCTTCACATCAATGAAAACCCTAATTAAGGCCAGTGGTGGTAACAAAATTGGGACTATTTAATGAATAAAGGAATAACTTGTTCATTCAAGGCATGAGTTTCCAGGTTCAGGGCATCCATTACATACAGAACAAGAATGAAAACAGCTCACTCCAGTGAACACGTATACAAATCCAGAGCACCGGGTTCAAAGGAAGACTGTGGAATACTTCCAGTAAGAGGAACAACATGTTCTTAAAAGCCTCAAGAGTCGATGCCACATGACAGTGCCCAGCAGCAGCTAGGAATAGAGAAGGCACTGGCCAAGGCCTTCAAAATTGAGGCAAATTTACTCCCCGTTCAAGGCCTAGACTAAGACAAGGTGGTTGGCTTGAATGCTGAACCAAAGCAGCAGGGAGACTGTAAAGGAAACTTATTCACCTGTATCATTGTCTCAGAGGATTACTGCTGAATAAACTCACTCTTGTTCTCTCTGAGCCCTGGGCTGGCTGGCTCAACTCAGTTGTTCCTGCTCAAACTTCTCTCCCAGCTGACTGCCTTTCTCTTGGCCCCTGAATTGCTCTGCTTGGTTGGCCTCAAACTAACTCAAGCAATCTGCTCCAATCATCTGGCTTTTTCTCATTCTCTGGCGCATTCTGTCTTCACCTGTCTAGCTTGTTCTCTCATTCAACCTCTCTCTCTAAAACTGCCTCCTCTCCTCTGCGTTGCCCCTTAAGTAGCTTCCCCTTCCTCCCTCTTCTCATGAGAGTTGGGTGTATCTTACTCTGTCAAGTCTTTCTCTTGATTCATCACTGTTTCTGCCACTCAATCTCAAACATGGGTGTTTCCTTCCACAAACTAACTTCACCATCATAGTTTGGGATGAAAGGTGTGTACCTCCACGCCTGGACCTAACAGATCTGCAGACCTAGAAGGTCTTTGGATGTGATCCCTTGCCAGAGTAGCCATGTTCTGAATTAAAATTCCTCTACAGGTGACTCCTTTATAAACTTTGTGTACCTTTCAGAAAGTGTCCAGGCCCCTGTCTGAGGAGGCCCAGCAGCCAGGCCCAGCTGCTTCATATTTTGCCTCGACTCCTCTTACATTTTCCCCCGGGTGGCCTCTTATCAGCTTTTCAGCTCCCCTGGGTGCCACCCACTGTGGTCCCTGAAGGGGGTGCTCGGATCTCCAGGCTGTGCTGGCCTCTCTCTACCTCAGGACAGCAACACCTCAAGACTCCAGAGCCCTGGGACCTGAGATCAGAAGCCTGGAGAAACTGAGAAGCTGATGCCAAGAAAGCAGCACCTGAGGCCTCTGCTAAGGCTGCTACTGACAGGGAAGGGGCGGGGGGCGGCAACTGGAACTGCTCTGTGAACTCCCGTGCTATCTCTGGCAACAATGTAGCCATTCCTCCAAGGCGGGAAGCTTTACATGTTCTAGCACTGCCAGGCAGGGACCAGGGACCTGACCCCTTAGTGTAAGTTCATAGTTTACTTAAGGAAAGTTGTTTTGTTTAGCTTAGAGTTCAAGTGTGAACCCCCTTGAGGCATGAGTTAACATCCCCACCTGCCCACACCTCTCTGCCATAACAGCAGTTCCAGCCTCTGTCACAGAGGCTATCTCCAACCTTTCCTAGATTATGCTAATTTTATGTGAAAAGTCTGTCTGAAACCTCACCAATCCCTGAGCAGGAAAATCCACCAATCGCTGAGCCTCCCACAGAAACCCACCAATCCCTGAACAGGAAAACCTTGCGCTCCCCCAAGCTCAGGACTTGAAATCCAATCAGTCCTCAGTCTGGAAATCTCCACCCCCAAAAGATGGTAGTAGTCTGTATCTGCTTTCTGGTTTGCTGCCTGGTTAACTCTCTCGTCAAAAGAAGCCCAGAAGAGAAGCAAGGAAGGAGCAGGGCTGTGTACCATTTCCAAAGCCATTCACCTGACTGGTGACCGCTGATCCTGCTGGGGACCGGCATCGCTGTACTGGGACGCCGAAAGGATGCGTGGGCAGCGGGATGAGGTGGGACAGGCCTCCGTGGGCACCTGACAGCACTTGGTACGAAGACAAACATGCAGGCACTGCATGCCGATACCTAAAAGTGAGCTCAGCCTTTAAAAGCACATTCTTCAAAGGAAGGAAGGAAATACAGCTTCCTCTCCCAGTGTTGAAAGGCGCCTCTGTGAAGCAGGAAAGGGGAGTTTCGGAGGACCGAAGGCTTTTCCAGCGAGCCTTGTGAAGACTCGGGCTAAACTGTGCGGCCACCGTGCAGGGCTGGCTTGGCAAGGGCAGAGTAGAGGCAGGGAACCATTTACAATCTTAAAGCGTCTTACAGAAGCTTAGGGGCCAGCCTAACCTACGGCACTAGTAACCCGTCAGACAGGAGGGGCATGGTGGATGCGAAAACCGAGGTCAGGTCAACCAAAATTTTCAGCTTACAGGAAACATGACTGAGAAGGAGGAGCCAAATATTGCTAGGTTTCTGGCTTGGATGAGGTTAGCAGAAATTATGTGAACATGAAGTCGCAGACGATGAGCAGCTTGGAGAGACCCCAGTAAGGAGCCTGCCACACCTGCTGGAGGAACCGAGTTCAGTCCCCAGGACAGAGAAGAGCGAGCGAGGTGCTGGCTCAGTCCCTCGCAGTCCCATCACTGACATGGTGACCGGAGGCCTCTGGAGCTCGCAGGCCCATCAGTGAGCGCCAAGCCATGAGCGACCCTGTCTACAAAAGGAAGCAGACTGCCCCTGAGGTGGACCTCCGGCCCCCATGGGCACCATCATGTGCAGATGTGCCACCCATGAGCAACTCATATGCACAGTAGGGAACACGGAGAGGACAGAAAGGGGGCAGTTTTTAGCATGTAGTTTTGGTTAGCGTACATTGCTTCTCTGTAGAGCTGTCAGGTGTGAGGAGATAAATTTGGATTAAGAAGTTAGAAGAGAGATCTGGGCTTGGGGAAGAGATTTGAGAATCATTTTTAAAGGGCGGGTGAAGTGGATGTTTCTGGTTTCTTTGGAAACTCAGCGAATCGTGTGTTTTTGTTTTGGTCCCAAGTGTGGGATGTGGGAATGTTTTCCTCTGCGAAACGCGGGGCCTCAGAAAACCTCCTCAGAGCCTTTGGGGAGAGTGACGCAGTTCTCACACGGGGTCCCCCTTGTGGGCCGCGTACCAGATAGCTTGTACCTCAGGCATCTGAGTAGCAATGAAGTAATTTCATGGTTGGGGGAGCACAACATGAGGAGCGGAATTAAAGGGTCTCAGCACTAGGTTGAGAGCCCCTGGCTGGAGGGTATGTGGGGGTGGGGCACAGGGCGCCATCTCTGGGAATCTCCGCAGCCTCGAGGGTGGGGGGGTCATTTTCTGTGCCAGTGGGGACTCTCCAGTGAGACTGGTCTGAGGCCGCCCATTGGACTGTAATAAGCCTGGCAAATTAATGGGTTTCCGGAGCTCACCCTGATGGGATCAGTTCGCTCCCGGGCTTGTGGGACTGTGAGAGTGGACAGTCTTTACACTCCCACGGAAGGGATTTTAGCAGCGCCTCTTAAGCGGTTCAGCCCTGGAGAACTGTCTGCAGGAAAGCCTGCTGTTCCTGGAAAAACAGCGGAGCTTACACCCAGGAAGACTTGAGAACCTGGCGGCTGAGCACTGGGAGGTCCTGTTCTTCATGGGGGATCCTGGGAGGGATGCTGAGCAGGATTACAAACACTTTTCCTGAAGTTCCCGGGGTAGCCGGTACCCAGTGACTGCCGTAGGGACCTCAGTGTCCCTCTTCCGCTTATTTTGCTTCTCCCCTGTTCTCCCGCACACGCGTTTTCTGTGTAATCTGCAGTAAACCACTGCAATCACGTCTTTACTTCAAGGTCTGCTTTTGAGAACACCCACTGCGTGGGGGAGCGGAGATGGAAGAGGCCTAATAGGGTGCCAGCTGCCCCACGAGGGGAAAGGCTGAGGGAGAACTGCTTTGCCACCCCTCCCCCACAGCCTACAACAGATAAAGCAGAAACCGCAGTTCTTTTTAGTGGGTCCAGCTGCACAGACCGGCAACTCCCACTTAGAGTTTTAAAGAAGTTCCTTAAGTGAGAGAAACCTAATGGCTTCAGCAGTTGGGTAGCTCAGCAGTTAGGGCACTTGCTGCTTTTCAGTTTTGAGCACCCACACTGGGTGGTTCACAGCTCCAGCTCTGGGAATCCAGCACCTTCTCCTGGCTCCTGCAGGCACGGCACTGCGCGCGCGCACACACACACACACACACACACACACACACAGATTAAATAAATAACATTTCCCACTTTCTCTGCGTCTCCTGTCCCTTCTGCCTCCATGTCACAGCCCTTTACTCTTTCCCCACCTCCTTTCAGATCTTATCTTGCCCTCTCATGTTCCATCACCTACACAGACATAAACTTATACAGAGAAAGACAGACACTCAAAGGCAGAGAATCTCCATAGGAGAAAAAAAATGATTTTTTTTCTTTTTGAGTGGCTTATTTCAGTTAGCAACATGATTTCCAATTTCATGTATTTTTCTCAAAATGCCATTATTTAACTTTTCTTTATAGCTGACTGGAACTTTATTATGTGTCCAAAAGGGTGAAAGGCATGAGTCCCGGAGTCCACGGGGAAGCAGACTTCTCAAGGACAAGCTAGGTTGGTATGGTTATAAACATGTCAGGTTTTATAGACCCCTTTTCAGGGTGGACTGAAGCCCGCCCTACCAAGAGGGAGACTGCCCACACTGCCATCTGGAAACTACTGGAGGCCTCATTCCCAGGCATGGACGGCCCTCATCTCTGGGCTCAGACAGTGGGCCAGCCTTCTTCTTACAGGGAACACGGGGCATTCTAAGGGTGCTGAGGACTAACTGGGAATTATAATGTGCATATCATTCCCAGAGTACAGGACAGGTAGAGAGGGTGAATTGGACCTTAAAGGAGACCAAATTAGCCCTTGAAACTGGCAAGGACTGGACAGCCCTCCTACCCTTTGCCCTGTTCCAGGTGTGAAATGCCCACTGTACCTACGGTCTCACTCCTGATGAGACCGTGTTTGTCCTGATGAGACTATGAATGTCTCTGCCTCTCATTCCAAAGCCTCAGGCTGACCTATTGGATGAAATGTCCGAAAACAAATTTCTTAAATGTGTCCAGGCCCTACAGACTGCCCAGGACAACACCTTCCCTCTCCTCAGTGATATTTAGGCACTTCTACCTGCCAAGCCCCATGGCTTCAAACCAGGAGACCTCATCTGGTCCAGAGGCACTGCCAAAAAACTCTGACTCCAAGGTGGAAGGGTGATATGACCCCCCCCCCCAACAGCTGTGAAAGTTGACAGAATTTGAGCTGGAGCCACCATTCCCACCTGAAGTTTGTTCCTTGGAGATACCAGGACTCAGACCAACAGTGGGTGGGCAGACCGCATCCGGAGGGCCCACTAAAGATAAGACTGGCTGCTGATGGCTCCCTCCGATCCTTTTGGTTTGCTTGTTGAGTCCAGTATCTCGCCAAAGCACAGGGCTCAAAAAAGTGCAGATCACAGGCCTGGCCATGGAGGCGCTCAGACAGGAGAACAGGTAGAGCTTGACCGCTGCATCTGTCAGGAGCCCGCGTAGCTCAGGGTAGACCTCTGCCACCTATGACTAGGTCCTGGGACCATCCCTGGTTTATTTTACCACTGGGTGCCAACCCAAACACTGAGGAGGAAAAGCCTTCAGCAGGACATCGGTTTTATGCCTGCCTGCCTGCCTGCCTGCCTGCCTGCCTGCCTGAAGGGGCTGAGATGGGCTGTTGTCAGGACAGAGAAGAGTTTTATTGTCCCTATTGGCCTTACTTGGGCCAAGGGTTAGAAACCTGAGCGAGTTGGTGGCTATAAAACTTAAAAACAATCTTGGCTGTAAGGTGCCCTGGTCACTGTCGCCTTAAAGAGATGGGGCATGCTTCCTCCTTATGCTGACGGGGACACCAGGAGAACACGCAGACTCAGAGTGTATTTTACCAGCTAGGACCGGGAAACCGTATTCACACTTCGGACGCTAGCTAAGCCATACCATCCTAGGTACCCTGGGCCTCTAGGAGTAGTCTCTGAGGTTCTCCTCCCTAACCAGGGGCCCAGTGACCCTTCTGGGATGGAGACTGCACTTGCAAACCTGCCCACCACAACTCCTTCCTCAGGACTCCCAGACCCCTTCCATTACATGGATCCCCCTTGATAGACACCGTTGTAGCTACTTATGTTTCTAAATGATTCCCAGCCCAGCATGACTGCTGGCATTTTTAAACCCCAGCACCCCCACACAAACTATATAGGTATAACGATGACAAATCCCAAACCTTTCCAGAACCTCAAGTTGGTCCTCCCCTCTTGTCTGTGGGACATTCCCCTCACCTTAGGGAAATGGAACTTGGTTTAGGTCATGCGAGTAACCCCTAAACACTTCACTTACGTTCAAATACGTCATAATCCTGACATGCATTTAATAGAAGGCTCTAACTCCATTGGGTCAACAGAAAACAGCCTCCTGGCTGCTTCCAAAGGGTTTTGGTTTGCCTGTACTTCAGGACTTACTCCTTGTCTCTCTGTCAGCCCTTTTATCACTGAGCAAGAGTGTGAATTATCATATCAGCACAAGTTTTACCCCAGGCTTCCTGTTATGAAGGTACAGAGGGAGGCATCCCGTCGGTCTCCTGTGACAGAAGCCAGCAGCCTGTTCTGACACCGGTGCTGGCAGGGTTAGGATAGCTGTGGCCCTGACTGCAGGACACCAGCAATACCAACACCTCAGTGAGCAAGTTGATGAAGCTCCACTCAGCCCCTCCTCCCTACAAAACAAGCGGACCCCTCAGCTGAAGTGGTCCTACAGAATTGAAGGGCCCTAGACTTGCTGTTCTTAAAGAAGGAGGTTTATGTGTGGCCCTTGGAGAACAGTGTGGTGTTTACGCTAATGCTCTGCGTGCTCGGAAACAGCCTAGCTGAAATAAAAACAACCTCCTTGATGGGGAGCAACGGAGAACACTGTCGACGAGGTGGCATGAAACCCTTTTAACCTCCTTGCTTAACCTGGCTCATCACAGCCCTGGTAGGTTTCCTGTGCTTGGTGTTGACCCTTGGGCCTTGTGTTATTAATGTCTTAGCCTCCTTTATAAATAAAAGGTTGTCTGCTGTCCAACTTACAGTCCTATTATAATCCCATTATAATCCCCTGCTTATAGAAAACATCCTCAAGTCAATGATTTCACGCTCCATACAACTCAAGGGAGGAATGTTGTGATAAAACTTGACAAGAATTCTAACAATTATACTTTAGCCTTAGCCTCTAACGTTATTTGACCTACATTCCTTGCCCTAACTATGATGTCTTGTTTTTCTAGCCTGGAAGCTCCCCAACATGAGGTCCTCAGGTCTTGGAAACTCCATCGACTCCTCTGACGTGAGACTTAGCCAATGAGCTTAAAGGTTAGAGAGCACTTTGTCTAGACAGCCTAAGTGCTGCCAGTGCACCTGTTTGTGGCTTTCCCATATAAAAGCTGGCCCTGGGACCTGCTCTGGGTCACAGGCTCAGGTCCCAGCTGGCTGTGCCCCAATTGGTTAGCTTTCCATAATCTCAAAACTTTTCCCTAAAGACTTTATTTTCTTAGACCCTGCTTCCCTTCTAGACTTTACCAGTTCAGATGCTTGAGGCTTCTCAGTCTGGCTCCTGCTTTCAGAGAGAGGCTTATTGTCCCCTCCTTTGTTAGATCCAGTCTCCTGCCCCACTCTGAGAAGTTATCTGGTCCATAAGTGTCTGCCCCTCTAGCCTCCTTCATGAGAGGCCAGCATGAACCCCTTCTCAGAGGGATTCAGCTTTCCACCTTGGCTAGGAAAGTCTGGCTTTGAGAAGCTTGCTTGTGTTAAAAAGCCAATTTTTTTTTTCCTCAGCAAGGAATTCCTAAGAGAACTGCCTCACCAGCTGGAGGCCTTGCTGTTCTGCATGTGTGTGCATGTGTGTGTGCGTGTGTGTGTCTAATCAGGAAGCTGTGAGCTCTTGCCTTAGAAACCGCTGTTGCTTTCGTAATAAACAAAGTTAAGAAACTGCTTTCTCTTTAAGACTAGATTCTATGTAAGTTCTGGCTGGATTTGTGTAAGTTCTCCCCAACTTGCTATGCCAAAATGTTACAGTTATTTCTATAATATTGTGTCTCTTAACCCGGCTATTTCACAAATAATCGGTGTCTCTGTTATATTATTTTAACAAGCTTCACAGCACAAGAACTGAGCAGTTATTAATCTATTCTTAACCCTCTAAGCTAATTTGGCTTCCTCCCAGCATGCATCGCAGAGATACTCGCACTTTGTAGTCTCCTGTTGCAGCTCTCTCTCCTGATATCCCCTGGACCTCTCCCATGTCCAACCCCTACTTCCTCCTCCAATTCCTCCTCCCCTGGCTGGCAGAAAGTCCAGCCCTATTCTTCCTCTGCTAAGTGATTAGCTGTAAGCTGCTTTATTGGCATATCAGGGAACAATTGGGGAGTAGTGTTTACACAACATTGAAGCAGGAGATTCTCAGAACAAGGATTGCAACCAGATATGGTGGATTGAGAAATCAGCATTTGAATTACATAATAGCCTTATGCCTACAGGAGACAATTGGAGAAGGTTTACTATATATTTGTGGCATTATTGTTGGTCTTTCCTCAAGAGGACATGGTCGTCCTATCAAATGAGGTCCTCTGCTGGTGAATTGCCCAATTTAAGATGCTCAGTAAGAGGTTTACCTGCATGCTCTCTTAATACAGCCTGACTCAGCTCTTCAGCTCCAAGACCAAGTGATGCTCCATTCCAACCCAGTCCCATGAGCATCCTGATTAATAACTTGCCAGATCGAGACATCGGTTATCTGAAGAAACATCTGCTGCCATTACAACAGTCGCTCCCAGCTTGACTCTGGCGGTTAGGTGCCTGGCCACACCAGGAGCGTCCTATGCACTGTGATCAAGGTAATCCCCGCAGCAGTGATCACTGTCTCCACCGCCACAGAGCCTTTCAAGGATGCTGGCACTCCCCACTCAGCATTTCATCACATCTGGTCCACAGATACCTTCTCCAGCTTCCCGATCAACACGGCGGGGGATGGCAACAATTGATGAATGAGCTTCACATTCCTCCACGTCTGCGTCAAGAACACTCTAACGTCAGTATTATGGAATACTGAGCCCAGAGTTCAACCAGCCAAGGAAAGCGTCAGAGCCACTCTGGCTGCACCAGCACTTACACGTTCAATCGAGCATCGCTTTAAAAGCGTCCGTATGAGCGCAATTGGGGTTACCTAACTTTGGCTTGTCTCCTCTCTGGAGTAGCACTCTCCAAATTAATTGACAACGTGTTCCTTAGGCTTTTGTACACTAGCAAAATATGGAAATTCTTCCAAAATATAAGCCATATGCTCCTGCACTAAACTTGGTGTGCGTCTCCTTGGAGCATGTTGAGATCTGACTGGTTTTGAATCTGGAGTCATCCATGGGGGTCAGAAAGGGACTTGGAAAGAACAGGCACCCTTCCCAAGGAGGCCTGATCCCCCCGCCCTCAACCAGGAGGCCTTGGATCCTCAAGCCAGCCGAGTTTGAGAGAACAGACTTGAAACTGAGTGAATGCAATTTTGGGCATGTTAACACACCCAGAGACTTGACTACAAGAAAAGACATGAAGAAATAGTCGTGCTGTTAAGCTGTGCGTGGAGTCAGCACGAGAGTCGCAGCTGTAAATGCGTTCAGGGTAGAATGGCCGTGGAATCTGAGTGTACCCAGTGCAGTGTAGCCCTGCGGAGGCAGACGACAAGAGTGCTGTGTGTTGGTGGTTGGTCTGGTGCTGGGACTGCAAATGCCGATTCCAGGGCCTTGAGATCTGGTTACTGCCCTGCCAGAGGTATTGTTACAATGTTGAACTACCTCCTGTACCTATGTGATGAATTATCCCTGATTGCTTGATTAAAAGGCCTGCACTTGGGCAGAGCAGAAGGTGGCAGGTGTGGCTAAGATTGGGGGCTTTGGAGGACAGAAGGATCCTGGGACGGACAGGAAGAGTGAAGGAAGGAGGAAGCTGCCATGGTTAGTGGAGAGAGAACCACGTGGGCCTGGAGGAAGGACTCTGAGAATGGAGGAAGTGAACCAGATGAAGAATAAGCAAGTATTTATGGAATTATGGATGGGAGGTGGGCTAGATAGGAATCATCAAAGCAGATGGAATGGGCTGGGGGCTGGGAGACACGAGATAGTGTAGGCGGAATTATCTCTTCAGTCCAAAGTGAAATAAGGCAATCTCAAATCTAACATGTGTCTGTGTCCTTTATTGATTATGATAGCAGATTACATAATACCACTGTAATAATTATAGGGCTAATAATAAATGTTATTAGATCCTACTTATAAATTAACAGCAGCATGCCAATAATAAAGTAATTTGCCAAAGTGGTGAGCAACTTTTGATAATATTCAAAACAAAATAATGTATTATTTCTCTTCATATGAAATTTTATTGCATACTGACTATTCAATCAGTGGTATGTATTTTACCTCTATGAATGCCATCCAAAAATTGAAAGTTTATGGAGGAAAGAGGTAGTTAACATTTCATGGCTGTGCACTGGATATTGTGAGACTAGCCCTTCTCAAGATCCCAAAGGAACTGTGAGGAGAGGGTAATTCCATCTTTGTGGTGACTAGCCAGCCAGAGTGTCTTCCTCCAGAGCCTGGCATGAAGAGTCCAAATCTCACCATGAGTGAAATTGGAAGCCAGGTGGACTTTTGTTGTTGCTGTGTTTGTTTGGGGTTTTTGCTTGTTTGTTTGTTTCCTGATAGGCTCCCATAGGCTGGCCTTGAACTCATGATTCTCCCCTTCGGCCTGCTTAATGGTGAGATGGCAGGTATGTACCCCTAGGACCAGCTACCCCAGGGGCTTCTGTGTGGAGAACAGATGGGGAAAACAAGAATGGCAGTGGAAAACCTAGACTAGAGGTCCCAGTATTCCAGAAAAGTTGACTACTGTAGTTACTTTACCAAAAGAACTCAAGGGAGGGAAGATTTATTTTGCTTTTTGGTTTCTAGGTTTCAGGTCAAGTTTGCTTGGGCAATATGGTGGCTGTTCTTTATTTAGAGAGAGCAAAAAATAGAGAAACAACTTTTAGGAATGAGCCAGGGCAAGCAGAGCCTCCAAGGACCCACATAAAGGGCTTGGCATGGTGACATGTACTTGCAATCCCAGGTGCGGGGAAAGACAGGTGGAAATAACGGATCGCTGGAGTCCATGTCAGCTAGACTAACCGAATCAGTGTGTTTTCAGGTAACATAAGAGAACTGTCTTAGAAGTTACAGTAGAGAGTGACTTAAGGAGATACCCAATGTTGACTCCTGACCTACACACACACACAAACACACAGGCACACACTCCAATTTGAAGTGCAAATAAAGTGAATAGAGAAGGTAGCTGACACAAAGAGATAGCTGTGACCGTGTTCTGGAAATTCCAACGAGGCAATCCGTCTCTTGGGATGACTTGATCAGAAAATTGGAAGACTAGAGGGTCCTTATGATAGTGTGAGAGACTGAGTTTGCTCTTATGAAGTTAAACAGTTTTGATGACGAGAAATTCAGGTACCAAGATGGAGCAAATGAGCAGAGACAGAGAGAAGTCAAGGCCCGGAGAGCTTTGGAGTGGGAAGGGCTGCCCAGATGGACTTGGAAGCTCTTGGCAAGGCGGACTTGTGAGGGCAGTGTAAACCAGGTAGAAGTCACAGAGAGCTGTGTTGTGGTAAATTTATGGTCTCAGGCCAAAGCTTATTATTAACGCTATAATTATTATGGTGATATTATCTAACCCGCTATCACAATCAGTAAGACACAGACACCTGTTAGACTTTATAATTGCCTTATAACACCTTGGGCCAGGCAGATATTCTACCTACGCTGTCTGAATGGCTTCACCATCCACGTCCCTGCCCCCATCCTGTGCCTTCCTCCTTCACCATTCCTTTCTGGGCCGCCTTCCATCATAGTTTTATAAACACTTGCTTGTGTTTTTCATCTGAGCCTTTCCATGACATTCTTGGAGTCCTTTCTCATGGCCCACATGGTTCCTTTGATGCTAATCCATCATGATGTCCTCCTTCCTCCTCTCTCAAGTCTCTGTCTCCTCCCCATGATTCTCCTGTCCCTGAAGCCCAGGAACCTTAGCCACGCCTACCTCCTTCTACCCTGCCCAGGTACAGGCCTTTTAACCAACCAATCAGGAATAATGTTTACACAACAAAGATAGGGTAGTAACCAGATCTTGAGGCCCAGCAATTAGCATTAAAATACAAGCATCAGACCAACCCCCAACTGGTGGGAGGCTGTGGCCAGGAAGTGTACACATGGCAGCATTTAGGAGGGTGGTAGTTGGTATAGTCAAAAGGCTCAAAGGTAAACGTTGGAGGGATTTTTACATGAGAGCAGAAAGGCAAGTCTAGCAGTGGCACTGGGGAGAGAGGCCACAACCCAAAGGTCACATGGCTCAGACTTCACTTCTCAGGTGAGGGGAAGAAGGAGCATTAGCCAACCTCTAAGACATCCTCCATGTTCCTGCCTGCGGTGCTCACACCTGCGGCGTGTCAGGGTCCGCTCGAGGAAGGCGCAGCGCAGTAGAGCTGGTGCTGTGTTGCCTGTAAGCCTGGGCTACAGTGCTGTTGCAGCCTCTGCCCAGTTCCCTGGTTTTCTTTGGGAGAAGACAGTTGCCATAGCATAAGCTGCCCTGTGGAGAGGCCCTCAGGTCAGGAACTGAAGCTGTTGATGATGGCTTTGTGAGTGACCTCGGCAGCAGCCTCCAACCCAGCCAGCCTTCAGATGCCAGAGCAGTACCTCATCTTCTTTGCTGTCTCTTAGCAGTGGAGACACTTCCAAACCGCCTACAGAAACTGGGGGATCATAGTGCTCCTTGTTGTAAGCTGTTACATTTGGAGCCATTTGTTGCGCAGCAATGGATAAATAAGACTTTTTGTCACTTATGCAAAACCACAAAGCTCAGCTAGCAGCCAATTTGTGGAGCACAGGACTTCAAACTCTCCAGTTAATGTTCTATGACCACACACAGTGTCCCAGTGTAGCTCGGATTTCTTTGTGTTGCTGGAAACAGGGACGGAGGTGATGGTGATTCCTGTCAGTTGCCAACTCCACACAATCTAGGATTACCTGGGAAGAGAGTCTCAATGCCTAGATAAAATTTTGGGTAAGTCTTCAAGGGATTATCTTGGTTTTATTCCTTGGTGTGGGGGGAGCTGCCCACAGTGGGCTGTGGCTTTAATTTTTTTAAACCTATTTTATTTGGAGTTCATAAACACCTCTACCCCCATTCAAACCTATGACCCTAGGTAGGAGAGAAAGAAGGTTGGTAGCGACAAGGGATATAGACCTTTTTACAATTAGTTCCTTAGAGCAATTTTCCTCCTCCTCATCAGAATTTCAACAGTTCAGCAAACAGCAGTGGCCTTCTTTAAGCATTCTCAGCAGTGTTTCTCTCTAGGACCATCTCTCTTTCTCTTTCTGCCCTGCTCTTATTCATACCCTCTCAGTCTGCACAAGACTGTTTTCCCTCACAAACCACGCCCCCTGCCACGAGGCAGTTTCCAGCTGACAAAGATTGATGTGCCCTCTCAGGAAGCTGTTAAGCATTCCAACATCTCATACTTGGGATTAAGCAAAAGTATGTTTGCTTTTGTAACATAATCAAAACTCCACAGTGGGTGGCACCATGCCCTAGGCAGGGGGTCCTAAACCGTAAGTGCAGAGCCGGACTAAGTGTAGAGAGGCATGCCTGCATTGTCTTCCTCTGCTCTGGACCGTGAATGTGACTAGATTCTGCCATCCTGACTTCCCTGCTATGATAATCTGCTGTGACAGACTGTAAGCCTGGAACTGTGAACGAAAATCAATCCTTTCTTCCCTGTTTTCTGTCAGGGTGTTGAATCACAGCAACAGGAAAAAAGTAAACATAAAAACTAAGACAACATCCCTGAAGAAGACTTCCTTGTACCTTGTGGATATCTATTCTTTGCGAAACCAAAATTGAGATTCCTGGCCTAAGTGAATTTCAGGGCGAGGCAACATGAAGCAGAGCTGACATTTCTTGGGACATATTTATAATGCAGATCTTAAGCACAAGGCTTAATAGAAACAGGCCAAGGACGAGGTGTGCGCAAGTGCGGGTATAGACTTCTCCAGGGGTCACACTTAATTCCTCCCACCCTCCCTCCTCCTTTTCTTCCTTCTCTCCTTTCTTTTTAGATTTGTTTGTTTTGTTGTACTGTGCCAGTGTTTTGCCTGCATGTATGCGTGTGCACTGTGGGGGGGGGGGGTATGTGTGTGAGAGTGTGTGCATGTTTGGTGCCCTTGGAGGTCAGAAGAGGGTGCTAGATCCCCTGGGGCTGGAACTAAAGGGTCACTGTAGTTGCTATAAAACTTCCTTCCCCATTTTAACATTGCTCAGAGTGCATTGCTTATAACAAGGTTAAGAATTTTTCTCTAAACAAAAAGTTATCAGGCAGATTTTGGGAGTTTGTGGTATTGTTTATATTTAGGAGTGAGAGATGAGTGAAGCCTGTACATGCATTATTTGGGCTGGAAGAAAGTATAGCTTATTTAGTGTCCTTGACAGTTGGAAAATAGATGTTATCTCTGTGGCAGTTTGGGCTTTATCAATGGCACCTGACATTTCCTGCCTTCTCAGCAGAGAGGGCAGAGCAGAGCCTGGGGTGAAGGGCCTATGCTCCCCCTACCCCAGTTTCCTCTCCAAGGCACCATAATTTTTCAGTCTTCCCACCTTCCTTGTTCGGACTGCACATCTGTGATTCAGAAAGTATTAACAGCACCCAGGAAACAGCTTGTGGCTCATGGTTTTGCTATTTCATAGGAAAAAAAAAAAAGAAAAGAGAGAAAAAAGAAAAGCCCTGCCATGCTTCCTCCAGGAATTCAGAGGAGAGTCAGCAGTGTGACTATTTTCTGTGTCCCCACAACAGTTACATGTAAGCATTTCTAGAGGACCCTGTGGCTTTGAGGTTCTGGAAGGTCTGGGATTAGTGCAAGTGTATGCAATCGCTCATTTGTAAAACCAGAAAAGCATTTCTACTGGGCCATTACCCACTGGGCAGGAATGGGCTCATGTACCTGGGCTTTTGTTGTGTCTGTGAAATTCTTCAGTTAGGTCTGACCTTCCTGGTGGTGGATCAGTGATGGGATCTAGCATCAGCATTTCTGCCTGTGACCTCAAAACTCGGGATTCAGAGAAGGGCAAGCTGCCAAAAAGGCACTTTGTGGCTTCTGTTCCTGTGTCACGGTATCCGCAATTTGCATGCAGATGAGCAGTATGTCAGAGGAAGGCCTCCAGTGTCTGTGACCCTTTGACTTCTTATTTGAATCTCAGGTTTTAAAATAAAAATGTGATTATGCCTCATTCATTTTTCCTGTCTTAAAAATACAACTAGAATCAAACTGCCTTTAAAACGCTTGTTGTGTCCCCATCGAGAAGCTGCTTTTTGAAGATGAAGACATGTTTGTCTTTGTATTGATCCCAGCATTCGACCAAACCAGTGAGCACAGATGGAGGGGTACCTGTTATTTTAAAAATGATGCGCACAACAGATATTACATGAAAGAGGTTTATTGGGTGGAGGTGGAGAGAGAGGGGAGGAGAGAGAGAGAGAGATGGTAGGGGAGGGAGCACCACAGAGAAAGGGGAGAGAGCAAGAGAAAGAGAGTGAGGTGAGAGGCAGAGGTCCTTTTTAATCCCTGTGGGCTTGGCCAATGATGACATCATAGGTGCCTAAGCAACCTAGAATTGGGCTAATGCATCCACTGACAGTACCCCTAGCGGGGGAGCTGGTAGTGGCTGCTGGCTGGGAGAGGGAGGGCACTGTTCTTCAGGGAGGTGGCTTGCAGGTAGCTTGCAGAGGCCAACTGTACACTGATGTTCACACAGGAAACCCTCAGTGAGAGTTGAGGTCTGAGTGAGGAACGCTGCCATTTATCCCCTCTTCCCCCACATCTCAGGCATCTGGACACTTGGTCCCCAGCTGGGGGCATTGTTGGGGTCCCTCTGGGTGGTGAAGACTTGCTGGAGGAAGTGTGTCTGAGGTGGGCTTTGGTATTAAGGCACCCAGTTTGTTTTCCTTGCTTTGTGCTGTGGTTGAGGCCGTGAGCTCTGAGTCTGCAGCTCCTGCAGCCTCGCCTCCCTGCTCTTTACCCCCTGAAACCAAACAATCCCAAGTGAACCCTTCCTGCTGTAAGTCACCTTGATTGTGGTGTTTTTATCACAACTATAGAGAAGTAGCTAATGCAGTGGATTATTTTTTAAGTGGTTAAGAAGTTGGAAAGGGGACAAGGTGGAGGAGGGGTTGGAGTGGGATAGTATGTGGATGAACACAATCAAATTACATTGCATGTGTGAATGGAGTTCTCAAAGAATAAAATGCTCCATAAAAAAAGAATGTGGCGAGAGGAGTCGCAGTCAGTCTGTGTTCACCAGAATAAGCATGTTTTAAAAATAAATTTCAATCTCACAAAATTAAAATGTGTAGCCAATTACTCCTTATTACGTTAGTAAGTTCATTTGCTGTCATATAGTCTTGAAGTTAGGAGAGTCTTTAGGTTTCCCTGATTTGTTTTGTTTTTTTCTCATTATGCTTGAAGAAATAACTGTCAGTGTTCCCTGGAGTCACTTATGGTCTTGAGAGTCAGAGACAGTCTTCACTCCCTTGGCATTCAGCTCTGTCCTGGCTAGAATCTTGCAAATTAACTCTGGGCTGAGCTTCCTTGAGACACAAAATGTCATTTCACATTTCATTGTCAACAAGCTAGTGATAAGTTGAACTTTTTTGTTACAAAACTGCAACATAATTTCATATGCAGCAAACAAGAGGAAGACCCAAGCATCCGCCCCCCTGTGCACACGCCTGAGACAGGGTTTCTCTGTGTAGCCCTGGCTGTCTTGGAACTTGCTCTAGAGTCCAGGCTGGCCTGGAACTCACAAAGATCCACATGCCTCTGCCTCCTGAGTGCTGGGGTTAAAGGCATGCACCACCACTTCTCAGCATGCCCTCAATTTTAAGAAAATATTTTATTTTTTTATTTTAGGTGTATGACTACTTTCTGAATGGATGTGTGTGCACCAGTGCCTGAGGAGGCTAGAAGAGAGCATCAGACACTGTGAACTGTGGCTCTAGAGGCTGAGCTCGGTGGCAGGCCAGTGCAGCAAGCGCTCGTAACCACCGAGCCAGCTCTCCGCCCAGCCCAGGGCCCTCAGCCAGTGGTGAGGGTCTCTCTAGCTGGCTCAGAAAACTTAGACGTTGCAAAGCAAACGTGGGTATATGAAGTAATTTTAAAAGTTAACCTTAGAAATGGTTTTACCAAGAATTTGTTCATTTACACATTCAACGTTTGTTGAGTAGCCTACATGCTGGGGACGTGGAAGGCTATGGTAAAGGCAGAAGACAAACGCACAGAAATAAGGCATGCTGTGTTAAATTGTAATGAAATTCCAGAAAGGAAAATAAAGCTGAACAGGAGGATGAAGAATGACAGACCTGAAAGGGGGGTGTCAGAAATACATGTGTGAACAGAGGCATGCCAGAGGAAGGTCTGTGCAAAGGCATGCAAGCGTGGTTGGTGGCTAGAAAACTGCCGTAGCTGATGGGAGCAGCAGAGGGCTGGGAGCAGCAGGGCAGCGGCGCAGGGCCTGCAGACCTGGCGAAGATGCTGGCTTTCGTTTGGTGATGTCTGGCTGCCGTGTGATGAGTCCGGGGGCTGTGGTTGTGGAAATAGCACCACGAGGAGGCTGTGAGTCTGGGTCCTCCAGAAAGCCAGGATGACTGAGCCTCGGAAGGGAGCCATCTGTGGGAAGCCTAGGAAGGGGCGGGGGACAGAACAGGCTGTGAGCCTTCTGACTTCCAGGCAGGTCTGGCCCCAAGGAAGGACGGAGAGGACAAGACAAGTCAGATGGAAAACGCTTAGATTGTGGCACGTTTTAAGAAAAATCAACAAGGCTAAGAGTTCTTAAGTCAAAGTCACACATCAGGGAATACCTCCTGTCCTAAGAACGGACCTGTTAATCCCAGGCTGAGGTAGCTGTGAAGAACCTTGGTCTCAGGGAAAATAGGATAGTTTTAGAGTGCAGCTGCTGAGGCCACAGGGCAATCACACACTGTGGGAGACCTGAAAGGTGCAGAGATCCTTGCTCTAAAACAGGTGCAGGAGATGGTGGTCCCCTGGGCTAGGCGGTAGGCAGACCGTGGAACCTTGCTAATGTGGATATTCTGAAGGTTAAACTGACTCCATTTGCCAGCCGATGTGGTATGGAATTCGATGGAGGACAAGAGCAACAAAGGCCTTGGTGGTTTCATACTGTATCGGAAACAGGTGTTGTTATTTGCTGAGGCAGTGAAGACAACCTTGGAGGAGAGAGATGTGCAGTTCCCTTTAATCTTGTTTGTTCTGAAATGTAGAGCAGCCTTTCAAATGGAGGGTGGAGAAGCCAGCGGAATGTACACGCCTGGCTTCAAGGAAGAGATCTAATCTGGAGACAGGAATTTGAAAATTACCCGTGCACACGAGCTGCTTACAGATGTGGGGCCAGCTTAGCTTTTAAAAATGTGTACCTGGGCGTGCCTCTGTGTATGTACATGTGCTCACGTGGGAGTGTGGGCGCCCATGGGGTCCAGGCGAGTATGCCAGACACCCTGGACCTGGAATTACACATGACTGTGAACTGTCATCAGGGACTCGAGAACCAAACTCAGGTCCTCTGCACCTGTGCTTCTCCACACTGAGCTCAGCTCAGCTGATGGATGTCCATAGAGCAGAGTTTCTGGTAATGCCTGAGCTGGAGGATGCTCTCCCCCATGGATGTGGGGACTGGGGGTGGGCACAAGAAGCCAGAACCAGATTAAAAGCTTTCTGGAACAATGAATGCTCATGCTCTAACCTCCTGCTTTAATGTGATGTCCACTGGTTGAGAGTTCTATTAATACCTAGATGAGTGGAGTGGCTTTAAATAATTGGAGCTCACTTGGCCTGCAAACACGATGGCCTTTTTGCTGAGCCCTCAACCTACTGTGCTGAGGGGCCACCTGGGAAGGAGAAAAACAGCTGTGGGTATGTGAATTGAAGCCAGGTGCAGAGAGCTCTTGAAGGGTGGGGTGAACTGTTCTGAGAAACAACCAGCTGTAAACTATCTACAACCAGCTGTAAACTATAGAGCAAAAGAGACCTGATTTTCAGGTATAAAAACCCTGTGCTCTGCATGTTCGGGGTCGTCTCCTGTCTTTGGAGGGGCGACCCTATCTCGATAGCAATAAAACCTCTTGCTTTTGCATCGAGTTGTGGTCTGTGAGAGTTCCTGGGAAGGGCGCGATCCTGAGCTCCTGAGCAGTGAGACTCCAGGTCTTACAGTATGTGTGTCCTGGGCTTGTTTCTTAGCCTCTGTTTGAGTCTGAGTCCTTTCGATAATGGCAATTGAAGAATTGTCAAGGGCACCAAGTTACAAGTTGTCGGCAGTGGCTGAGATGATCTCACTGAATGGCGCACAGCCTGATCATGTTCCCTGTCGGGCTGGCTAATGGGGAAGCCTTGGTGGGAGGACGCAGTGCCGGCCCTGACTGTTCTGTCCTTTACCGGGTGCCAGGGAGATGCTCCCTAACAAACTCCTGCCACTCCTGCTTCCGCCTCCCACGTGGTGGGAGTACAGGTGTGTGCCATCCTGCCCAGCCTCAGCCCCCCTTTTTGTTTGAAAATCTGCACACTTCCCCTCTCTAACCTTTAAAACGGTCTGAGGCTTAGCTCCCTCCTCTGTCACTCCCGCCCACCCCTCCTTTCTCCCCTTTGGATTTTTGAGACAGGGTCTCACTGTGGTCCTGACAAGTCAAGAACTCGCTACAAGGGCTGCGGAGAAGGCTCCCTCCGTGTGGAAGAGTACTTGCTGCGCACGTATGAAGAGCCAAGCTCATTCTCCAGTACCTACAAATTGCTGACTGGGCATGGCTGCGTGCTCCAGGGTGAGCCTGCGACCCAGCACTGAGGGTCACTGGCACAGGCCGAGCCCTGGACCTGCTGGCCAGTCTCACCAAAACAGCGTTGCCTCTGTCTCAGGGCAAGTCTCAGGGAAATAGTGTAGGGCGCCCAGGGTCTTCTTCCCTGACCTCCGCGCACGCTCACACACGTGCTCACACACGTGCTCACACGCGCTGTCACAGAACTCATTTCATAGCCCAGCATTTTTTGTGACACAAGAGTCCACTGCACACCCCAGAGTTGCCTGCTCACACGTGAGCGTGGTTGACAGAGATTTAGTTAACTAGCTAGAGATTACGTCACAAAACACTGGCCTAAAAAAAACAAACAAAACGCTGGCCTAAGCCTTTGTGATTCTCTCAAAGGATTGAGAGTAAGAGAACAGCTCTGCCCCAAAACTGAACATGCAAATACGCTCCCACACATCATGCACACGCACGCATACCCAAGCAGCTGTAGACTCCCATGTTGCACTCATATGCACTCAAACACAAGAACATATACATGCATACACGTGCCCTCCACATGCATGTGTATGCCTACACACACACGCACATGGACACATCTACACACAAGGGTGTGCATACATACAACCATGCATTCATACATACGCACGCACACATGTATATATGTGCGTACAGTTGTGCATGCATATACTCATGAACATGTGCTTACATGCAGACATGCATACACACAAACCTGTACAAGCATGCATAAACATGCTGGCATACCCATACATGCACATTTACACATACGGTTACATGTAAATACACTCATGCACAACACACATGTGCACACAGGCACACAAACCCATGCACATAGATGTACACATGCACATATAGGCATACATATGAGCTCACATGCAAACATATATACAGACATATACATTCCTGTATACATGTGTGCACATGATTACACACAATAAATAGACATTTACACACACAAGTATAAACACATGTGCGCACATACAGGCATGAGCACTAAACATAGAACCAGCCTTCCGTGCACCGAGGCTACTTTTATGCCGATGGCGTGGTCTCACTAGTGTTGAAGAAATGCATCATTACTTATAATTTGACTTTAAAAGCCCAAGAGAAGCTGTGATCCCATGGTAAAATGGCCATAAGTAATATCAGGACAGACAAGGGAGGGGCTTCAACATGTCGCAGGCCAAGAGGACTGCCCAAGCGAAGAGATGGTTTGGATGACAATGGGAAGCGTGTAGGTGGCCGGGAGGCAGGAGAGGCGTGAGGGTCCCACAGACGTGGTAAGCCCTTCGCACAGAGGGAACATGAAAAGGTTTGAAGACCAGCCTACAGTCCGTGTCAGAGTCTCCATTTTTAGGTCTTGCCTGAGGAAGCAAACAAAGCTACAGAATGTTCAGGTATGTGAATTTCATGTAACAGTGAATAATTATTTTTAAATATTAGGCTATGTTTTACCTGGTAAAGATAAAGTATATGCAAATAATTTATTAGACTATGTGCATTCTGCGTAATGTACGCAGCTAAAATGACAAGTGAGTTTCTGTTGTTTTTTCGAGATAGGGTTTTATTCTGTCACTAGACTGGGCCCTGGATTCCTCCTGCCTCTGTCTCCCAAGCAGCTGTGACTTCCGTGTGTACCACCACACCTGGAAACATAATACAGACTATTGACACATTAAAATGTATATGAGATATCTTACTTCATTTTATTTTATTTTTATATTTTTAGAGACAGGGTTTCTCTAGGTGGCCTTGGTTGTCCTGGACTCACTTTGTAGACCAGGCTGGCCTCGAACTCACAGAGATCCACCTGCCTCTGCCTCCCAGAGTGCTGGGATCACAGGTGTGCGCCACTGTACCTGAGGTGTCTTATTCACTTCCCCATTTTTATTGGTTTGTTTTAGGTGTTCTCTCTCTCTCTCTCTCTCTCTCTCTCTCTCTCTCTCTTCAAGGCTGTCTTTGAACTGTACATCCTCTATCTCTGCATCTTGAACACTGGGATTACAGGTTTTTCTCATTTTTATTCTTTAAAAAAACTATTTAAAAATTAATTAATTTCTTTTGGGTGGGTGCGGGGTTGGGGGCAGGCATGCCATGCCCTGCATGTGGAAATCTGAGCACAACAGCCAGGCCTAGCACATTATCCACTGAGTCCTCACACTGGCACCCAGCGTGGCTTATACAATGCCTGCAACAGCTCTTTTCAAAATAAAATCTGTAATTAGCATATACTGTGTTCGGTTTCACTATGGCATTTTCAAACATAATTTGTTTCTGTTGATCCTCCACTCCCCTCTTCTCCTCCATTCCCCCCTGACCTCTTGTATCCTTCCCCTCTCAACATGGCTTCTTTCCTGCTTTTGACCAGGTATATATCTGTGTGTGTGTGTATAATCACTATGCATCAATTGTAAAAAGCAGCAGGTTTTATTACAGTATTTTCCCACTGGACACGTGGTACTTGGTAAACATACTTGATGACCGCTGCTGTGTTTCCTGGCACCAAACTCAGTATAATTCTCATCTTTCCATCTAACTGATCATTAAACAAATTCAAATCCATGTGTGGCCAACTCTGGCAAGCCATAGAGCCTTTTTACATTCCTCTGTATTTTAAAGGTACTGTGAAGTTCTTTCATGATGCTGCAATGGGTCTCTCTTCCTTGTATTTTCACACAGGCTGTATTTTCCAAGTGAGAGGTGGTTACTGGTTTTTGCCTGCTTTTGGGGATTTATATTGCCCTCTGCTAGTCTACCCTAGAATTTCTAGAAATGCTCAGATAGTCTGTCAAAGTATTTATAAATCACAGGCCCTCCTCTCTAGTCTCAAATAGCAATAACACCTTTTTCTTTTTCCTGCTTCAAACAACTAAGCTATCTCACTGAGATAGCTTCATGAGCAAAGATGTCTGCTGTCTAACCTGCCTGGGCGCCACATGGTGGAAGGAGAAAAAAGATTTCTGCACATGTAGGTTTGTCCTCTGAGCTCTTCACATGTGCTGGGGCATCCACACACACATGCACACACACTAAACAAACAAGCAAATGTGATTTTAAAATGAACATGACTCCAGACACTAAGGAGATGGTTCAGTGGTTAAGCACTTCCAAAGGACCCGGGTTTGATTCCCAGCATCCACACAGTTGCTCACTGCTGTCTGTGAATATAGTTTCAAAGGCTCTGACATCCTCTTCTGGCCTCCAAAAGTTTCAGGCATGCACATGGTACGTGTTATGCAGGCATATTCCCAAACATATAAATTTTTTTTTTACATTTCCAGAACCAAACACCTATGATCCTACTTCATGTATAAGGAGAATATGTAAAATACTCTTAAAAAGTTATTACACTCACCTGGCAAAGGAGAGGCCACAAACATGATGGTGGTTTTCTCGGGGAAAGCTTGTCCATTGCACCTGGGCGTACTGACCATTGCATTTCCCCCAAATTTAGGAAATACAACTGCATAATTTATGACAGTTTGCACCCTCCCCTGATTTACAAAAATAGAGAAAAGCTGTTCCTATCACAGCCACTGAAAACTATTAGATTTTATGCTAGAGTTCAAAATAAATATGTGATCTTATATTTCATATGAATAATCCAGAACCATGAAACAGGACCCTGACTGTGCTGCGTCCACACCCTACCTCACATTACAGTAAGAATCTTTCTTCTGTTCATTCCTTCTCCCCTTTCTTCCTTCATTCTTTCCTTCCTTCCTTTCTTCCTTTCCTCCTTTATTCCCTCTTTCCCCCCTTCCCTTCCTCCCTCTCTCTGTCTTCCTTTGAGACAGGGTATCATTCTATATGGCTGACTTGAAATTCAGAATGCAGGACCAGGCTGGCCTTGAACCCACCAGAACCTCTGCCTTTGTCTCCCAAGTGCTGGGGTTACTGTGGTGCCCCGCTACACCCAGCTCTAAACTGACCGTGTTTCTTCTTATCCCAGAGCCCATCTTTGCACAAAATCAAAAGCCCAGGCACCCCCAAGACTCTAAGCAGCTCATTCCTCCTGCTCCTGAATTCACAAATATAAATATAATTTATTCTTATTCACTTTAAAAAGTGCAAGTCGTTTTGAGTTTCAATACAATGGCTTTGATATTTTCTTAAAAGCTAGCATCACCACAGCCTAGTGGCCATGCTCAGTCCTAACAGTGCGCAGTACTGTTCTAAACACGCATCCCAGCTGTGTCCAGCGTTGCATCCAGTGCTGTGAGCCAATGAGGAATTAGTCTCGTGTTATAAGGCAGCAGCTTTAGGTGTTTAAGTTCTCAGTTATTTCAATGTGTGCTGATTCATAAGCTGAAAAA